TCCCCCTCCTCCTCCTCCTCCCCCTCCTCCTCCTCCTCCTCCTCCTCCTCCTCCTCCTCCTCCTCCTCCTCTCCCTCCTCCTCCTCTTCTCCTCCTCCTCCTTCTCCTCCTCTTCCCCCTCCTCCTCCTCCTCCTCCTCCTCCTCCTCTTCCTCCTTCTTCTCCTCCTCCTCCTCTTCCTCTTCCCCCTCCTCCTCCCCCACTTCCTCCTCCTCCTCTTTCCCCCTCCTCCTTCCCCTCCTCCATCTCCTCCTCCTTCGCCTCCTCCTCCTCCTCCTCCTCCCCCTCCCCCCCTCCTCCTCCCTCTCCTCCACAATCACTCAATATGAATACTATTCTCCGTCTTCCCCTGATGACGTCTCGGGAATATTCGCCCCCCCCCCCCGCGTGCTGTTTTTTTACACGCAGGTTTCCCCGGAGTTGGGTTTTCGTTTGTATTTTTTTCCAAAATGCTGCTCTCGCTGGGGCGCGGGCTTCATTTTTGGGCCCCGCTCGTTCCGAATCGTGCTCCCGCAGCAGCGCTGGCATTATTTCCGCCGGCGCCCGGGCTGCGCGCCCGAGCCGGCGCCCGGGCCGGCGCCCCTGCCGGGTCCGGAGCCGGTTCCGGCCGGCGCCAGAAAATCGAGTTCAGATGCGGCGCCGAAAACAAAAACATTACAATACATTTTTTTTTTTTTAATGCTGAATTTATTCTTGAGGCCCCCCTAGCCGATTCCGACGCCCATGGCTGGCGCCCGAGCTGGCGCCCGGGCCGGGGCGCCCGGGCCGGGTCCGGAGCCAGTTCCGGCGGTGCCAGAAAATCGATCCGAGGCGGCGCCTAAAAAAGGCCATGCCAATGCAATTTTTTGTGCTGAAAGTGCTGAATTTGTGCTTCTGGCGCCCGGGAAGCCTTCCCCAGATTTAGGTTTTCGTTTCCATTTTTCCCAAAATGCTGCTCTCGCTGAGGCGCCGGCCTCATTTTCGGGCCCCGCTCGTTCCCAATCGTGCTCTCGCTGCAGCGCTGGCCTCATTTCCGTGCTTCCGCTCGTTCCGAATCGTGCTCCCGCTGCAGCGCTGGCCTCATTTCCGCGCTTCCGCTCGTTTCGACTCGTGCCCCCGCTGCAGCGCTGGCGTCATTTCCCGTGCCATGCCGCGGCGTGCAATGCAATGCCAGGTTGATACTACGCTTCGCGGTGCCCTTTCGCGCCGTGCCATGCCGTGCTCTACAATGCATCGCGCACCCTTTCGGGATCGTCGCCCTGCTTGACATCCGATTGTTCGAGTAGAGAGGGGATCTGCGCCATGGTAAGGGATGGGGGGGAGGGGTAGGATGTCAGATATGACGTGAGCGCACCTAGCTTGTCCTCCTCCCCCTCCTCCTCCTCCTCCTCCTCCTCCGCCTCCTCCTCCTCCGCCTCCTCCTCCCCCCCGCGCCCCGCGCGCGCCTCCTGTGCCCTCCGCGTCGCAGTTCGCATCGGTTGAGTCCCGCCGTTCGCTCGAGCGCCGCTTGGATGCCGGCCGGCCACGAAGTGTCGAGGGCATTCCGCCGCGCAGTGCAATGTCAGAGGCTTGCAGCAAAGGCTTCTGACTGTAGCGTCGTCCGTTGGGCGCCGAGGGGTCGGCGCCTTTGGGTTTCGCGGCTCGCTGCGTGCCTGGAAACATGGTGTCCGTGTTCTACCTGTTGTGCGTGAACGACACTCACTAGTGCAGCAGAGGCTGCAGTGTTGATCATGGAATCGTTTCCGCCCGTCTCCTGCCATGTATTTATCGCCGGAAGGGATGCGAACCACCGCTGGTTCATGACAGGAGGCTCCTTGCGTAACTTGACGACCGCACTTTGTTGTCGGCGTGGGGAGTGGAAGTAGACTTATTGCGTGTGCAGTCTCCTCGCCATACTGATCACTGCCTCGCTCATTGGGTCTCGTCTTTCTCATTCCGTGCCTGGCATGCACGAAATGAGGAGGTGGGCTATGGATTCGTGGGATGGTGGGGTATGGGAGGGAAAGAGCTCGGTATGGGAGGGTATAGTTGGGAATTGTGCATGGCATTTCGTGGGATGGTGGGCTATGGGAGGGAACGAGTTCGGTAGGAGGTGCGGCGAACTGGCCATGGATGAAAGGGACAGGACGGGAGGGAAGGAAATGGGCCCAGGAGGAATTGCAGCATTGGTGTCAGCATCGCGAGGAGGGAGGCGGGGGGGGCAGAGGGAGGGGGGATGCTCTGCACTAGGGCGTAGAGAATGGGAGGGGTGCAGGCGCGCGGACGATGGTGGAACTCATCCAGCGAAAGAGGACGACGAGGAACGATATGAACTGGCATATGGGGAGGGGTACAATGTGGATGAGGGGCATGATGAGGACTGGGGGTAGTCGGACGGGCCTGAGCAGGGTGGGGCCGAAGCGAAGGGACATTGGGATGATGCGGGGGATGGCGAATGGGGCTGAGGCGGGCGCCAGCTCACTCTTAGCTGAACAGTGTTTGGCGTATCCGTGCAACCTTCTAAAACACAGAGATTCGTTGCAGAACTTCATGATTTGGGTAGCCGTGCGCGGCGTGCTTCCAGGCCAAAAGCTCCAGTCCACGACGCTTCTTGGCGTCGCGTTGATGCCGCCCCGCTTTGCCAGACCGCATATGCACAGATAGGCAGAATCTGTGTTTCAACGTTTGTGTCATGCCTCTCTCTAGAGTAACAGACCACGTCATAATCCAAGTGCATGCGGTTTTGTGGTTTGGCCTCAGAACCAGAGGCATGCTTTTGTGTTCGGTCGTTGGCATGGACAAGGCCTGGCGAACATTCTCTCTGTGGTTCGCCCGTGTTGGACTTCGCAATTTCAGGCGCGGCGGCGGCACCGCATTATATTTCGGGATCTCGCCGACTTGCCCATGGATGCGATTCTGGATCTTCAGGGCCTCAGGGTGTGTTCGCAGTTTCCCTTTAGTTGTACCTGCGCACCTGTGCGCCCTGTGTCGCTTTGTAGGGAAGCGTTTTCCGCACAGAGCACCTTACCGCCATGTGTGCACAGGCACTGTGGATTTTGGGTGGATGGGGGGATTGTGTACGCCACTGCGATTTGCATGTGCCGATACAGATCCTGCACAGAAGGATGCTGTTCTCAACCCGCGCGAGGAAACGCGCGACAGAAGGTTCAACAACGGGTGGGCAATGGATTCACGGGCGCAACTTTTGGCAACGACGTCAAGGGGATTCCCGGATGTTGTGTGCCAGTCTGTAGCCTTTTTCACTCAGCCGTTTCTGTCAAAACAAGTTCTGCCGTAACCGTTCAGACGCGTATGTGAATATATCGGAGTTCGGGGTTTAGATCGAAGTGAGACGGAGACCCCCCGTGCCGTGAATTCGGTTTCGGTTTCGTTTTCGTGTCGTGTTTGCGGGTGAAGCGAAGCTGCAGGGGCGGGCAATAGGAATGAACCCTTTTCTGGCTATGGCGCGGCCTGGGCCAAAGAACCGCCCCTCCAGGTTGTCCAGTGGTGGCCGGGGGTGTCCCGCAGTGGTGTCCCGATGGTGTCCTGTGGTGTCCCGTGGTGTCCGGTGGTGTCACCATGTTGTACCGATGGTGTCCCGATGGTGCCCCGACGGTATCCCGATTGTGTTCCGATGGTGGCCCGATGGTGTCCCGATGGTGTCCCGACGGTGTCCCGATGGTGTCCCGACGGTGTCCCGATGGTTCCCGATGATGTCCCGATGGTGTCCTGACGGTGTGCCGACGGTGTCCCGATGGTGTCCTGATGGTTTCGCCATAGTGTCCCGATGGTGTCCCGATGATGTCCTGATGGTGTCGCGATTGTGTCCCGATGGTGTCCCGATTGTGTCCCGATGGTGTCCCGATGGTGTGCCGATGGTTTCCCTGTAGTACCCCGATGTTGTCCCGAGTGTGTCCCAATGGTTGTCCCGATCGTTCTCCCGTGCGTCCGAAGATAGACAGACAGTGTGGTTGATGAAGAATGACATCGATAGATGTAGAGTGTGATCGGTTGTGAGATGGATAGTGATACCTGAATAGTGAGACTGATACAGTGATTCGGGTACTGTTGGTGACACCCGCTTTCTGATCGACAGACAGATTCTGAAGCCGATCGTGAGATAGTGGGGTCGATCGTGAGACCGATTTATCAATATTGAGACTGGCAGCGGTATCGACAAAGAAATATTGATACCGATCGTGATATCGATGGTGAGATCGGTCGCAGAGCCAACTGCAAGATCGATAGCGAGACCGATTGTGATATCGATGAGCATATAGTGATATCGATAGTGATATCGATAGTGAGATCGATAGCGATACCCATAGTGGGCCGATGTTGATATGGATCGACAAATAGTGGACGGATGGACCACAACGGCGTCCCGATGGTGTCCCAGTGGTGTCCCCATGGGTTCTGGATGGTGTCCCCATGTTGTCCCGATGGTGTCTCGATGGTGGTGTTTACTTGTCCCCAGGGTGTGTGTCAATGCAGTCCACTCGCAGTTGTTATCCGTTGGATCCTTGCCCCCGCACAACGTCCTTATCACCCGACGGGTGGTCGTATAGGTATATGTGTACCTGTAAGCACAGTTGCGTGTGTGTGTGTGTGTGTGTGTGTGTGTGTGTGTGTGTGTGTGTGTGTGTGTGTGTGTGGGTGTGTGCGTGTGTGTGTGTGTGTGTGTGTTTTGTGTGTGTGTGTGTGTGTGTGTGTGTATGTGTGTGTGTGTGTGTGTGTGTGTGTGTGTGTGTGTGTGTGTTTGGGCATTTGTGCATGAGACCCTGGTTGGCGTGTTGCAGCCGCGGATCCTAGACGCCAGCTCGGCATTGCCACGATGCCTGCCACACGCAACGAGACCAGACGGATAGGTCAGTCCGCGTGAGCCTGGATGCCCATGCTACGGTGGCCCTCCCTCTTCATGGGCATCCGCGGCTTCGCACCCACGCAGCCCTGCTCTGCCTCGGCTTCCCGTCTCGTCTCCCTCCCTGCCATCGGGCCTGTGCCGTCTGCCAGCTTCCGCCGCCCAGGCCCTGCCGCGCCGCGCGAGCTCTGGCTCATGGCCGCGGCCCCCTCCGCCCCTGCGCACGCGCACGCAGGGGGCGGCGGGCACGCTGGTGCCACCACCTCCTCTTCGGCTGCTCGACCACGGAGGAGGAGAAGCCTGGCATTAGGCCGGGCACGTCTTTCCATACAGGAGGAGTCTTCAATCATAGTAATACATTCTCTTCGGCGGTCAGGTTTTCGAGTATTCTTGGACTGCTTTTTCGTATGAATTATTGTCGCCCAAAAATCCGCCTCCAGGGGGACATGCCCGACCTAAGCCTGGCAGGGCGTGCGCCACTGCTGCATCGTCGGAGCTCGGGACTGAGCGTCGTGAGGAGCGCTCCCATGGCTGGAGGAGCGGAGCAGGCGGAGGAGCGGAGGGTTATGCTGAGGAGAAGCAGGATGACGTGGTGACGTCGGGGAGTAGGATGACGTCGGGGAGGAGGAGGAGGAGGAGGAGGAGGAGGAGGAGGAGGAGGAGGAGGAGGAGGAGGAGGTGGAGGAGGAGGAGGAGGAGGAGGAGGAGGAGGAGGAGGAGGAGGAGGGCAGGAGGAGGAGGAGGAGGACTGAGGTGGAGAAGGATGAGGCTTTCTTTGGGAGTTTTGGGGGTGCCACGTGGCCTGTCCAGGGACGTTCTTCGGCCGCTCTTGGGCGGTCTTGGGGAGCCTTTGATTTTTCCTGCGGCCTGTTGGGCCGAAGTGCCTGATAAGCGAATCGGGTTGGTGACCTCGGTCAGTTTCAATTGAAACTGGCATTCCAGTGCCTCCCTTTGGGCCCATTGGGGGTCTCTCCTGGGGCCTCCCGCGCATTTCTCGGAGCTCTCCCCAGATCGTCTCGGAGGATCGTTATGGTGGCCTCCCGCGCAGGGCCGTCCTAGACCATCCTGGCGCTCTTTGAGGCTGTCATGGGCGATGTACAGTCTTGAAGTTTTCAGGTTTCCCCCGCGTCTTCCCGAGGCCTCCCCGAACAGATCTCGATGGCCTCTCTCCATCGCGAAGAGCGGTCCCCGCTCGGAGGAGGAGGAGGAGGTGGTGGATGAGGAGGAGGAGGTGGAGGAGGAGGAAGAGGAGGATAAGGGGGACGAGGAGGAGGAGGAGGAGGAGGAGGAGGAGGCCTTTCGCAAGCGGCAGCGCCCACCATCCTACCGTTCTCCAGTCTTTCGCCCGCCCTCCCCACCATCCCCCCCTTCTCCTGCCCAGCGCTTCCCTACCCCTTTTCATGCCCCTTGGCCGGCGGCAGCGCCCATCCTGCTCCAGCCCGCCTCCACGCCCCGCCTGCGAGCAGGGCATGGGCTTCGGGCTGCAATGGATCATCAACAAGATAACGTTCCCGTCGCCGCCGTCGTCCTACTCGCTCACGGCCGTCCCCCCACCGCCGCGGCGTGGAGGAGGTTCGAACAATACAAATAAACGACATGAGCATAGACTTTCGGAGTCCGGCGCCGCCCTTGGCGCGCGGTGGAGGGGGGTCCAGCTCCGATCCAAGGAGTCCGCGCGGACTCCGGACAGTTCGTGCTGATGTTTTTTTGTTTTTGTTGTTGTTGTTTTCTGCTGGTGGAGCAGGAGGATGCGGAGAAGGGGTTGGTTGTGCGTCGGGGGGTCCGAAGAGCGGGGTGATGATTAGGGATGTGTGGGTATCGTGGATGGGCCATTGGGATCCCACAGATTTCATGGCCCCCTCTTCTTCCTGTTGAATGCCAGCTACTTCGCAATTCTCGGTTTCGGATCCCCTCAGTGCGCTCGGCCGTTTTCGTCTCGGCGTCGGCGCCATTTCCATTGACACTCAGGCTCGTACTTCCTCGCAGCTGACTGCGAGAGGCCCTGGCTGGAGTGGGCCCCCAACTCGGGAGGGGCGCGCTCGTCCAGACCTCCTTGGAGTTCAGTCAAGTTGGTGGAGACCAAGCAGCGACGACAAGGGCTCCCACTAGATATTTTTATCACAGTGTACTCCGAGAGGCCCTGGCCGTAGCGGGCGGAAACCTCACGAGCGGCGCTCTCGCTCGAGACTTCCACGCGATGCAGAACATTTTGTGGAGGCCCAGCCCCGACGACAAGGTCTCCCGCTCGATACTCGCTCACAATTTAATCCGAGACACCCTGGCCAGAGGCCCACAAACCCACGAACATCGGTCTCGCTCGAGACTTCCTCGCAATTCAGCCGGCCCAACTTCGACGACAGCGGCTCCCGTTCTTTTCACAGTCTACTCCGAGAGGCTCTGGCCATAGAGGGCCGAAAGCTCAGTGACGGCGCTTTCGCTCGAGCCGTCTCCGCAGATCATTCAAGTTAGTGTATTCCCGATTTCGGCGACAGCGGCTGCGGTTAGATATTTCCAGGCAGTTTTTCTCGGAGAGGCCCGTGGCCAGAGGTCCCCCTAAACGCAGCAACGGCTGTTTCGCCCGAGGTTTCCTCGCAGTTCGGTCAAGTTTGCGGATGCCCGATCACGACGACAGCGACTCCCGTTGGATTTTTCCTCAAAGTTTATCCTGAGAGGCCCTGGCCAGAGAGGGCCAAACGATCAGTAATATCGGTCTCGCTGGATACTTCCTCGCATTTCAGTCAAGCTGAGAAGGCCCAACTCGATGCTTCCTCACTGGGTCGTAGCCTTGGGAACGCGGAGCCAGCGTGCTTCCTTAAGGGGCGTGGCCATAGGAACGCCAAGTTTTATCTGCCCGAACGGGACTGCTCAACCCAGCCAGGCCTCGCATCAGGAGCAAGAAGGAACGACAACGATGCTCTCCAAGAGGTCCTGCCCACCCTCTCATTTCCCCCCTCGGCGCGCCGCCGAGTGACGGAGAACGGCACTTTGACCACAGGGGGGGGGTGGAGGATGGCGAGCGGACAGCGTGCCGGGAGAAGGAGTTCAGAGGTGGACCAAGACCGCAAGTTCCACTTTGCTCGAGCTGGCTCGCGGCACGGCTGCCGTACCGCTGCTGAATGGATCCCTGGCGGTGTTCCTGCCGGGACGTTGGCGAAAGGCTGACACCCATCCAGGCCACATTTGATGAGAGCGATCTGATTCGTGCCGATTCGATTCTTGCTGCGCGCCAAAGGTGCCCAACTCGATCCAAGATCCGATCGGATCCGCTTTCTCGGTTCGAGACTGATCGCTACTTGTTGTCTAGTTGAGCTGCAACTGATGCGGTATGTTCCAGTGTGCATGTTGTTTCACGCGATCTTCCTTATCAACTCCGCTGCGACACTTCTGCCAGTGGTCTCGCCCTCATCAGCGAAATCCATCCTCGCCTGTCGCCTCCATCGCGCTCCCGCCCGCGCCACGCGTGCCTCTTCAGCCGTGGCCTTCGCTGCAGGGCGAGGCGGCGAAGGGAGGCGAAGCGTGATCCTAAGGCCGCAGCGTCGGCGTCACCTCAGCATGCTAATGCTATCCGGTGGCGCTGCCGCGCGATGCCGCCACCGCGCTCGGGCGGGCGCCCCGGGGGGAGGGGGGTGGCGGGCGCCGGGGGAGTGGGTCCACTGAACGTCCCTCCCCCCGACCTCGTATCGGGGCTTATGTCGGGCGTGTCCCCCTACAGGGGGATCTTCGACGAAAAGTAAAACATACCCCAAAAATGCTCCAAAAAGGTAAAACATAGTCCAAACATATTCCCCATATTATTTTTGGACCACCCACACGCGCACGCGCACGCGCACGCGCACGCGCACGCGCACGCGCACGCACACGCACACGCACACGCACACGCGCACGCGCACGCACACGCACACGCACACGCACGCGCACAGGCACACGCACACGCACGCGCACAGGCACACGCACACGCACACGCACACGCACACGCACACGCACTCGCACTCGCACACGCACACGTACATGCACACGCACTCGCACTCGCACACGCACACGCACACGCACACGCACACGCACACGCACACGCACACGCACACGCACACGCACACGCACACGCACACGCACGCGCACTCGCACGCGCACACGCGCACGCGCACACGCGCACGCGCACGCGCACGCGCACGCGCACGCACACGCACACAGACCTGCCGCTGCCAGCGCGGTGGCGGATGCGTGCGTGCCGAGAAATCTCGAAGTACAGCTCCGTGGCAGGCGCTTTCTTGCCATGCCGCTCGGGAAGCAGTAAAACGGTTGCACTACATGTTCGGGTCGGGCGCCCGCCTGCGAGGAGGACACATATCGGCCGCATTCGAGGGGGGAAGTGAGAAGGAGAAGGCCTCCTCAGAAGGTTCGGAAGTCGCCCAGCCTTCTGAGAAGTTTTCCAAGCCTTCCCCAAGACAGACAAACCTTCTCAGAAGGCGCGAGGGTTCCTGGGAAAGGCTCGCCGCCTTCTGAGAAGGCCTTCTCCCTCTCATTTCCCCCCTCGCTCGCCGCCGAACTTAGTACTAGTATGTCCTTCTGCG